GAACATTTTTCCAAGCAAAATGTTCGAGAAGGGCAAACGAGGAATGGTTACGGAACTGAGTTCACTCAGTAACGCGTCCAAATGTTCTCGAAGTGCGGTTTGCACTTCACACCAACGTGCGGCTAGATAATGTATGACCAAAGCATAGTTGATTCCCGACGGGAGTGATTCGTGTTGTAAAATGTGGGATAGCTGAAAGAAACAGAAATCGATAATGCAAGGAAGAAATACACCAAACTACGTACTAAGTGGGATATTGAAGATCAAAAGCAATCGATAGTGTTGTATAAAACAAGTCTATTATTGACAAACGATCTCAGAACGAGCACAACCATGAAGAGAAGCTTGATGTGCGTAGGCGCTTGCACGCCAGCGACTGGCACATTAAATGAGTGAGTCTGTGTACGGGTTGGCAACGGCATACGTGATGGGATATCGATTTCTACTGGAATAAAGTGCACAAATATGCAACTCTATCTGCTACTCTGGTTCGCGGTAAAATGAGACATTGATGCGATGTGAAATAATCTTGACCTCAGTGAATAAATGAGACACAAATACGTATTTCTTGAAATCGTCAAATATTATGAAAAAGTGGTGGTGGTTTGTGTGGAGTTGGTGAACTGTAGAACAGATAAAAACGGGCTAGGTAGCTTTGCATGAGCCACAGATCTGAGTGTGACAATGAAATGGTGCCCGGTTGGAAAAACCGGTGACTCTAAATCTTGAGGCTTTAAAGTTCAGGTGAGATCTCTGTAGTGAGTTTGATGACGGCAAGCCGGTTACTACCGAAGAGATGTGGTTGAATAATAAATTTGGGTCCCGTTTACCTGTGACAAGGACTAACAGATGAACATAGGCAGGAGATAAACTATAGGATGAAATGGAGTGAGATATGACGCGTGGAAATAAGGTGCCTCGTATTTTATTTTTTTACTTTCGGATTTTCTTATTCTAACAAATAATGCTTTCAACTAAAACGACAGGAGGGAAACAGAACGAATAACAAACGCGTTAGAAGAAACTGATCCACAGCAGTTCGACTAACCAGGGATTTTTGACGGATGGCAGAAAGGTCCTCGAGTTATGACCAGTGCATGTTACATAATCAAACTTCGAATACCTCTAGATAACCACTGGGTGGTACTATTCGTCACTAGGGTTTTCCGAATGGTGACCTATCGTCCATACCCTCTGCACTAGGCTTTGTCTACCAGAATCTCCAAACCTCGTTTGCTGACCAGCTTACTTATGCGCCGGGTCGGTATGAGTGGGGTCTGTTCCCTTTACTGATATAGCCCGAAAACGGGTTTGGCATATAGAGCTTAAACACTTCACACGATCGGTCAATGATCCACAATCAAAGGGGTTTTTGGCGAAAAGGTTATCTGAGGGAGCTGGTAGAGGTGTGCAGCCCGCCGCCCTCAGCAAATAAAGGCGACAGTTTACAACAGTGAACGATAGAATGTTTGCAGGAAATAGGACAACTAACATTCAAATTTCCAGCATGTAAACAATCCCACCAAGATGGAAGTTACTAATGAGGCAAGCTTTCATCCGAAAGCGAAACTCCAAATACAAAAGAAACAATTAATGAAAATACTGAGAAAACACAAGATGTGGTGAGTGTATGCAGCAAACAAGTGTTTGAGTGGACAAACAACCAAGGTTACTCAAAAAGGAGGAGCAACTAACGCTAGATAGTGTATCATTCTTATAAAGTGATGTGTAAGATACTTCCGAAGATAAATCTTATCACCATCATCATCTAGCGAAAAACCATAATATGAAGCCAAAAGAGAATAACCTGATCGAGAAGGACAAACCGCGTGAACGAATTTACAGCCACCGATTGTTTCGGAGAGTTCGGTTCCGCTTTGATGGCGGTCGGAGCTGTAACAGAAGGTGGGAGAAACAACGGACGACGAACAGGTCCCGGAATGCACGGATCTGTTTCGGATGCCGAATGTGAAACCTCTTCCATTATTGGTACCAGGGCGGCCACGAGCTGTGCGGATCTAGGCGGGACACAGTGTGTTACCACCAATATTTCCGGGAAATCCGCACCCAGTAAGTGTTGGACAATCGGGAGGCAGTAGGCGGGTGAAAACGAGGTCCAGTCAATGTTCCATGTGTACGATCTGGGTGCTTCGGAGTGAGGACGATCCGACTTGAACGAAGAACAATCTCTGCAGGATAGATCCAATAGATAACTGAGCAAGCTTTGACTGCATGTGTTGTCCGAGCTGAGCAACGGCACTTGCCATCTGTTCCCAGAAAAGAAATGATTCGGTAGGAATTGAAGGTAGCTGGATATACACGTTATTCTAGAGAGAACCCAAAACCCGAAGCATACGTAAGCGGATCACTGCTACATGGACCCTTTGTGTCAAATGTAACAACTTAAATCACACCACCGTCATCACCAATGTTGTGTTCCAAATTAAGTAAGTAAAGGAGCACACAACGAATAGAACAACACGTTTATTGTAACGGACAAATATGTAGCCGGTTCGTAAACCGGGGAACAAGTAGGAACACACAACTTGTAGGAAGGCAGACAGGCCGACTCCGGCTCACACGTCTCACTGCATGCGAATGCCGTCAAGCCAGCATTCAAACACTCAGTTAATCGATCAACCAATCAATCTGGCCACAGCCATGTATGGCAAGCGAATCAGTTGTTGACCACAACAACCAATAACTAGCCCGGCAATGTGTTGAATCAGTTACAGATACAAACTTGACATGCAGAATATTTTCACATCACCGTATACTCAAATATATTCCACATATTTCATTGTGCTCCGAACTTGGATACTGGATCGTAGCAAGTATAGATACATTCTGGTACCGGATGGGTCATAGCAGGAAGTTCTCCAAGAATCGTCACCCGTCTTTAGACACATGATCACAAGTGGTGAAAGAACCGAGCACTTAACCTTAGAGAGCACAAGCGCCGAAAGGTCACCAATATAAATACTACTCAAATTACTACTACTTTTAGTATTTGAAGGTAATAGTAAGTTTCTCCGATAGAGAACCAGTAACCTCAGCTCAAATTCCAGTATTGACGATATGTCCACTCACAACCCTCAAGAAAGCTGTTTGATTCTGTTTTTTACGTCCAGTTATCTCCGGTCACCACAAATCTCATCATGCGGCAACTAGTTTAACCAGCCGAAACCAGATGCTTCAAAGCGTCGAAAGCGGTGTTGCAGCGACAGGATCACAGATTATGGAAAACAGTGAAGTACTGAATCCGGTTTCAATGTACGATCGTGTGGACTGTTAAATGACGAAATTCAAGCTGTTTATTGATTGGATTGGCGGAAAAAGCCACTTGTTTGTGGTGAGGCTCTAAGGGTCAGTCAGCCATTATGTTATATTTCACGCACGTCTGACGCCAAACTGTGTGCCAAACAAATCACAACAATCTTCAATAAAAGGAAAACGTTTCATGCTTTGCATGTGAACGGAATACTGCCGGTTTGCTCAGGCCAAAGGCAGATAAATCTTCTTAGGGAATTCACAACCGGAGCTTTCGGCTTGCTTAAGCCTAACCCGTAAGGCTGCCGGACGGTGTGTGAAAACCGCAATCCATTGGGAGCCGGTGTCCAGTTCATTGGACCATACGCCCTCTGGACGAGGTCAAATGTCCAAGGTGACCAGTATACCTCGATGCTCAATCGAGCCGGTGATCATTGCCACAACCAGGAAGGTGTGTGTGTGGTTCGTACACTTCTTCTTGATTGGTTTGGAATCAGGATTTCTGGCCAACTCCTCTAGGTGGACTGCCAATGGTTCACCAACCCGGTTATAGCCCCGGATATCGGCTTTTCGTCCTCTCACTTTGGTGAGAAAAACCTCCGATGCGAGAAGGCAGTGAGTAGGGCTTCCTCAGCAGAGGCTATTTGAGACGCTTGGTCGTATGAGAGCATTTCGCGAGGTACAAGGTAAGGGTGACTAGCCACAACCCTGGACGCCCACCCCCGACCATACTGAGGCTTTCATACTTTCAT